AAAAGGTGCTCAGAGAAGCATGATGACCCTGGCTTCTTTCAACTTTAAGGGTCTTTTTTCTTTGTTTTTCCCTTTTCAAGCATTTTTGGTTCCTGTTTCTATTTTGAGGTTTTTCCTATCTAGTGTTGTCTTCTTCTTCTCCTCCTCAGTCTTAGCCATACTTTGTATGGTCAGTGGATCACAAATAAACATCTTTCTGTTATTTTCTGCTTTCAGCTAAGATTCATCTGACATTAGCAATAATATCCTTCATGCTTCTTCTAAATCCAGCTTGAATGTCTGGCTGTTCTATACTGTTCTAGACATTTTTTAATGGTTTTCATGTGCATAGGATATTAGTGATATTGTTCAGTAACTTCTTGAGAACGGGAACAAATCTGAATCTCTTCCAATCAGTTGGCTATGTTGCTGTCTAACAAATAGTTTAGGCTAGTGAGCAAACCCAGGGTTACATCTGATTGTGGAAGCATGTCCAATAATTTTTCACCAAACTTTTAGACTTTTTTCCCCCCACTATTGCTTTCAGTGCAGCTATGTATATCAGAATAAATGGCTAGCTTTGAGATGAATGAGAATCTTAGAACACTAATTATGCCTGTGTGAAGCCTATACATAGAACAAGAAGAACAAGAAGCTTTTATCTGGACAGAACAAGGGAACAGTGCGTGTTTTAAAATCAGGAAAGGTGTACATCAGAATGGTATTCTTTTTCCCATATGTATTCAATCTGTGTCAAACCTTGCTTGCTAAATGAAGAGAACTTGAAATATTTACTGCAGAAGACCAATAAAACAAATAAAACAAAAATCCTTATCACTGGCCTGATAGGCAACATCATGATAAGTGGAAAAAAGATTTCCTTTTACTTGGATTCCTGATCAACAGACATGGTAATAGTGGCCAAGAAATCAAAAGACATGTTGGATTGGGAAATTTGCTTTTAGAGACCTCTCAAAAAAACTAAATAACAAAGATGTAATTGTAAAGACTATCATATTCCTGATTCATCTGTGCTGTTTTCAGTTACATTCTTTGCATCTGAAATTTGGACATTAAATTACAATGGCAGAATTAGAATTGAAAGTCTTTGAATTTTTGAGTTTTGGAGAAGAGTACTGAATATACCAGGGGCTTCCAAAAGAACAAGTACATCTGTTTTGAAGGAAGTGTAGCCAGAGTGCTCTATGGAGGAAGGATGGTGGAACTTCATCTCCCACACTTTGGGCATATTGTCAGGAGGGATCAGTCCTTGTAAAAAGACATCCTGGTGGTAAAAGTAGAGGGTTAGAAAAAGAAAGGAAGAGCTTCAACAAGGTGGATTGACGTAGTGACTGTAATAGTGGACGTTATCATATCAAGGACTATGAGGATGGACAAGGTTAAGATTTATTGTTTACAAACAACAAACAGCGTAGCTGTGAGTTGTAGTCAACTTGATAGTACCTAACAACAATGTCTTTTCACATTGAAGCATTCGCTTTGGCTTCTTCGCACTGGGGTCTTCATTACTACTGTTCTACCAGCAAGAGGTACAAAACTTAAGAACTATAAACTCTTTACTGTGACTGAAAACTTTATCTTAGTGACAGCTTTTGGTTAGAATGAAAAATTTCGGGAATTCATAAAGGAATATGGACTTTTCAGCTGAACAAGCATGAATTTAAATGAGCACCATCAACTGTTTTATTTTGCCTTACTGACTTGTTTCTGAGGTCAGGGTAGTGGAGAGGTCCTCTTGAGATGTTGAGATGAGGGATACAGATGATACCCACGGTGTGCCTAGTCAATTCTGGAATGCAGCCAGGGCATATAAGACACCTCCCCCCCGCTTCTTCTTATCTTAAGATCCCCTTCATTCTCTTATAGGAAAGCCCAGAATTGGAGTTTTGAGCTTCCTGCCAAGATAATAGAAACTCAGTTTATTTTTGTAAATACATCTTCTACTGATGTGTAACTTAGTTTTGTGCAAGTGTGTGTTGGTACACCTGGGCTATACATGTGCATACAATCTCATACATAAGTTTTAGAGTTGAAGATTCAGTTTTATGGTAGCTTCTTTGCTTTTAGAAGGCCTTTTAATGAAAACTGGATTGCTTTTTCCATGTTGTTGTTTGCCGAGTCTGGATGGACTCATAGCAGACCCTCTAGCAGGTTTTCAGAGGCAAATTTTTGGAAGGAAATTGCCCATCCTTTTCCCACAGAGTGACTGAACTGTGTACCTTTGGGATTGCAATGCAGTTTTTTACCACAAGGTCACCATATTGCTTTTGTTTTGTGCAGTCACGTCAACTCTAACCCATAGCAACCTTATGTACAACAAATCTGAACCCTGCTCTATTTTTTTTAAGGATGTTTCTATCTTATTTTAAAATTTCAAGGAAAAATTGATCATTAATGCTTCAAAGTTTACCTTTTTGAGAAGCCTTTTTGGGCCTCCCCCTTTGTCAGCTGTATACATAATCAGACAAACTGTCCTCCATCGAATGCTTCCTCTCATTTACAACTGTATTAGGTTATGAGTCTTCAGACTCAGAAGCAGAGTCTGAGCTGAGAATACCCCCCCACACACACCGGAAAGGGAAAATGAAGCTTTTATTATTTGGTACTATATGTGTCAACTGCTATTTGATCATCAGACCAACCTTGATGAATTAAAGTTCTAGTTAGTGACTAGTCAAAATAAAAGAAAGAAAAACTACAAATTTTTATAATCGATATCATTACTTTTTATAATATGGAAGTGAAAATTAAAGTTGTCTTTTTTAAAAATTATTTGATTGAAAGTTTATAGGGCAACTTGATTTTCCATTCAATAATTCATGTACAAATTATTTTATGACATTGACTGCAGCCCTTATAAAAGTAATCTCTCCATTCCCTCAATATTGCCTTTTCCATTCATTCTTCTTTCTTAACTTTTTTTACTCTTTGAGTTTTTCTCTGGGAAAATGCTGTTCTTTTTGTCTCACAGGGTTTATTGTTGTAGGGAGTACACAACTCCCTGGTGTTATTGTTCATCTGTATATGCTTGTCTATAGGCTGACTGAAAGATGCACCTTAAATAGTCACTTATAACCTTGCTACTCACCAAAGTAGGATATAAAGCACAGACTACTTAGACTGCTATGTCAGCTGACTGATTTTCCACTCCCTGCCCTCATCCCAAAGATTATTCCCCAGAGATCCCAAATTAAATCACATGTCCCTTTAAGATGTTTGTTTATACTTAAAATATGTACATAATTTTACATCTGTTTACTATATTGAATATATTTATAGCATATGCAGCTATGTGTTTGGGAATGTCATCTTCCAATATCATGTATGCTTGTAAGTGTAGTCCCTTTCACCTTTCCAAATATATTCCCCTTTCTTGTGTGACTATGCATTGACTTATATGCTAATTCTCACTACTAAGGATAATGCAAGATTCTGTGTGAATGACAGTTTAATTTAGTTGTGTAACTATTAGGCACTTCTTGTTTTCTTTAGTGATACTGTTCTTTATGGTATAATCACTCCCCTTTCATCTACATTAGTACATATCTATTATTGTTGTTTTTGTTGATTGCCGTTGAGTCAAACACGACTCATAGTGACTCTGTGAACAGAATACCTAATGCCTTTCCATAATTGTCGTCATAACATTAATATCACATGTAAGCAAGATTCTGCTCAAAATTATCCAAAAACGAGTGGAGCAGCATGTTAGCAGAGAACTGTCAGATGTGCAGGCTGAGTTTAGAAGAGGTCATGGTACTAGGGATATTCTAGCTAATGTTGGAGAGGACCAGGGTAATGTCTATCTGTGTTTCATTGACTGTGCAAAGGAATTCAACTTTTTGGATCACAATTAACTGTGGCTAATTCAGGCAAGGGAAGTTTCTGGGGTCCTTTTCCTTGTGTGTTACTGTTCTTTTTGCCCTTCTAAAGTGGATGGGTATAAAGGGTGGAGCCTGCTCTAGGGGGTAGCTTAAAGTCCTTTAGGAAAATCCTTTACTTGTTTTTGGTGAAACATTTTTCTATGTCATATAACCCTGGTATTTCCGCTTGCTGTACAGAGGTAACTGTTGGTTACTGTGAAGCTGAACATTGTGACACTGATGTGACAAATGCAAGATTGGTTACTGATAGTGGACAGTGTTTTGTGGAGCTCCCCAATTAATACAAGCTTGGAAGCAGGAGAGGCATCCACTTCCGTAATCGTTTGCTTCTGGAAACCCTATGAACCTGGAGAAAGGACGAACGTTATACTGGTGCCCAGGTCTTTCATTCTTAGGGTCACTATAAGTTGCTTCCGACTTCACAGCACTTAATAACAACAACAACCTGCTAAACATCTTAAGCCAATTTCATTGTCTCTGACACACCTCTCGCCGTTACCCAGTCTCATCCAGCATTTTCCTCTTCTGTGCTGTCCCTTAACCCTTCCAAGCATGATGTCCTTTTCTAAGGACTGACCCTCCTGGCAACATGCCCAAAATATGTCAGATGGAGCTTCAAAATCTTCCTCCCAGGAGCAATTTTATTTCAGTCTCTCTAGGAAAAGACCTGTTGGTTCTCTTAGCAGTCCCTGTTATAGTCAGTAATCTTCTCCAGCATGTCCAGTTGCCATATATGCCATTAAAACTTTATTTATCCACCCTAAAATTTCAGTTTTATGTAATTATTCTTTTTGTTCCTTTTTATAAGAAGCACATAAAATTTATTTTCTCTAATTTATTTCGTTTTGGATTTTTTGACAATTTGAGCATATGGTAGAGAGAATTTCTCTTGATTATGTCCTCTACTATGCACAGTTTCTTTTTGACATCTTAACATTTGTTTCATTAATGAGTGCACATTTATACATCGTTATTAACTGAGATTCATACTCCTATCAAATTTCCTTGGTTTTTAACTCATCTTGTTTCTTACTGTTCCAGGATCCAAACCATAATGTATTCTCTTCTAAATGTTGTATATATATCTTCATCCATTTTTTGGTTCTTTCTTAATAGGTATACAATATGTTTCAGCACCAGAGCCTTGGAGTTAAAGTTAACATTCAAGTTACCAAGCTTGTCCTTCTCCAACAACGTCCAGTAAGTTCCCTGAGGTGCCTTTCAGTACATATAGAAAAAAGTAACACTTGTTAATGCTCCCTGTTTGCTGTTGGGTGCTGAGAAGTCCAAGTGGTTGTCTATCTTGCTCTACCTCTTTGTCTTTGTAGGAACCACAGTCTGCAAATGTTTTGAGTGAGAAAAGACAGGACCCATTATTGAAGCTTGTTTGTACTTGGCTGCTTATAGTCTGGGGCAATCCTTAGTAATGGGCTATGTGTATTTCTCTCCTTCATCCCCGTTTTTCACACTGGGCATGCTCATCCTGTTGACTGTACTCAAGCTTTGACTCATATAGATTACAGTAGCACTGCTTTCTAGTCTAGAATTGTGTGCTTTCCCACAAGTCAGTGTTACCTGCAGAATTAAATGATAGACATGAGGTTGGAAAATGGCTAGTAGATTTTGCATGCAGTTGTTTGCAGAACTGAAGAATCTCTGAGGGAGTGTGCTTATTTTACTGCCTCTTGATTTATCTTAGACCAGCTTGTCCATTGGACACCATGGCGAAAAGTCCCTGAAGAGCTTCTGTCATTGGCAGAATGAAGAATATGGTGGAGCTCGATATCTTGGCAACAATCAGGTTCCAGGAGCAAAAGATGATATGCCCTCTGTGGATGCTGCTGTCTTTGTGACCAGGTAACATGAGAAAGAGGGAATGATGTTTACATTTTCAGGCAAAATAGGGAAGAATTTGGCCATACTCAAGCTTTAAACATTAGTCCTTTGACCTCTTACCTTTCTGAGCCTACATTTTATCATCAGTAAGGTAGGAATAAATGATAGTATCTACCTGAAAAAGATGAGAATTAAATGAGCATCAGAAGCACTTTTTCACAGTGCCTGAGAATAAGGGAGTTCTGGTGGCCCAGTAGGTAAAGATTTGTATTGCCAACTCGAAGGCAGGCTCGTCTAATCCACCAGTTTCTCTAAGGGAAGAAAATGGGCAGTGTTCTCTCATGAAATATACAGCTTCTGAAAACATTCAGACAGGAGTCAGCTACTACTTAGTGACAAGGAGTTGTTGAGTTGAAGTAAAGTTAAGTGTCCACTAATATCTGCCACTCCTATTATTAATGATATAAACATACTAAAACTCTGTGTGTCTTAGTTATAAAATGTTGCTACAGCAGAGAGATCACAAGGCTTTAACAAAAAGAAATACCTTCTTTTGTAGTTTAGGAGACCGAGTCCAGTTTTAGGTGCCAGTGCTAGGAAAAGGTCCTCTTTCTGCTGGTGGTGGAGGAAAGTTCTTATTTTTGTCAGGCCAAGTGCTCCTTGGAGATTGTGTTCTGACCCTCTGGGTGTTATCGAGCTCTATTTTGGGGGTCTGGATTAAAAAAGATGACCTCTACTGCTTGCATTTATTTCTTCGTGGCACTGAGGGCCCCATTTCTTACCTTCTTTTCTTCCCCTTTTGTCTCTACTGAGATGAAAGGTATTACAGGCTACACCCTAGGGAAACAGCTGTGATATTCAGTCAGTGCTATAGCAGAAGTGGGGAGTGTTGCCTTCTGTCCTGAATTCTCCCACAGTTGGTTTAGCACACATTAGGAGGGATCACTCTATAGTTTCTATGTTATTGCATTATGTATTTTATGTTTTGGGATATACAGCACAATCCAAGAGACTAGGTAATTCAGAAAATTGAAACTTGCAATAAAATTCATTATTGTATCCCCTCCCCATTCCCCTAGCCAATAAAGCACACATTGGAAGAGAGCAAATTGGGTTGAAGTGGTTTCCAGATTGTGTGGAGTGAAGCTTCTTGTGATAGGAAACCTATGTGGACACATGTGTATAATGTACTCAGCTGCACTTGGTTGTCTGTTCATTGGCTTGCCCTCAGGTACCAATTGCCATTGAACCAATTTTGACTTGTGGCAACCTCTTTAAGTGTCAAAATGGACTGTGCTCCACCCATTTTCATAAGTTGAATTTCAGAACTAGATCATCTAAAAGGCAAAGTCCCTTTGAGGGTGGGCTTTCAGTTAATAACTGAGAGCATTAATTACATGACTCAGGGACTCTGTCCTCTAATTAGGTACAACTAGATAGTTAGGGGAATGGCTGGGGAATATACTTGGAGGTTATATCAGAGCAAAGAGTTAAGCTTTCCCACAGCTACAGAACTGGACTACTGTTCCAGATTAAGAGAAACACCAGTAGCCCTATAAGCATGACTGAAATCCAGGCCACCTCTCAGTATGGACAAGAAGCAATGAGAAGGGACGGTTTCTCTCCTATATCTCATTCTCCTCTGAGATGAACTGACTTTCTGCTTCAGTAATATACTGGAAATTCCCCCTGAGAAAATATGCAGACATGTGTCTTAAGAACTTAATCCTTGAGGTTAAAAACTGTCAAAATTGTATTATAGTTGCTAGAGCTGTAACAATGTTATTTTACTTACTTTTTTTTTAAATTCAGAATCTTTCTTTCCCCAATTAGGAATTTTTTTTTCTTCACTCCAAATTGAGGGATAACATTGTGGAAGAGAGGACATTAGTTGTGCATATACAACAGCCTATCCTCCAAGAATTGTGTTGTTGTTATTGTTAGGTACCATCAAGTCAACTAATGATATTGATCTTGTCCCATCCTGTGCTATCCTCATTTTCTCTGGTATACTAGAGCCCTTTGTTAAAACCACGGTGTCAATCCATCTTATTGAGGGTCTTCTCTTTGTTTGACTTTACAAGCATGATGGAACTTTCTAGAAAAGGTCTAGTTAGTAATTTTTCATTGCCTAAAATAATTGCATTGATAATGTCTGCTGTCAGAGACCTCTCCTAAGTACTTAAGAGCAACAGTGAAAAAAAAAAAAAGAGCAGTAGTGTCATTCTGGAGGCTGAGGTGCGCCTGATCCAGGCCATAGTCTTTGTAGTTACTTGGTATGTATAAAAAAGCTGGACAAAGACTAGGGATGAGAGAAGAATTGATGCCTTTGAGCTGTGGTGCTGGATACTGTGGAGTGCTAAGAATACAAACAAGTTCATCCTAGAGAGAGTGAGACTAGGCTGCTCTTTGGAGGCAAGGATTCTGAAGCTTCATCTGACCTACTTTGGACATGTTGCAAGGAAAGTCCAGTTCTTAGAGAGGGACATCATGCTTGGGAGGGTAGAGGGACAACATAAGAGAGGAAGACCGTCACTGAGATGGATTGAGTCAGTGACTGGGAGAATGGAAGTAGATGTGTCAGAGACAATAAGGTTTGACACAGGATAGAACAGGATTTAGGGCTGTTGTACATCAGGTCTCTGTGAGTCGCAGGTGACTTGATGGCACGTAACAACAACCACCACCTTGAACACCATGGCCAATGAATAGGGAAGGCTGAAGAGGAAGAAGGTCTTTAGTTGTGGTGTTGGTGAAGAGTATTGACTATACCATGAGCTACTAGAAGAGCAAATCAGTCTCTTTTTGAGGAAGTGCAAAGATATTCCTTAGAGGCAAGAATTGTGAAACTTCATCTCACATAGTTTAGAAGTGATATAAATATGCCCAGTTCTTGGAAAAAAACATCATACTGAGAAAAGCAGATGGTCATCAAAAGAGAAGACCTTAAAGGAGATGGATTGACACAGTGACTAAAACAGTGGGCTTGAGCATGGTGTAGAGTATGAGGATGGTGCCGAATATGGCAAGATTTCTGTCTTCTGTTCATAGTTGAGCTAAGTTGAGCTAATTATGAATTGCTCTCTCCACCTATGACCTTGACTACAACTAAAAAAAAAAAAATAACACAACAAACCACAAAAAAACTACACCAAGTTCCAAGGGATAAACTTGACCTGATTCGTGCTTGACTTAGGCATGTCCACCCACAAGGAGCTGGGGGGGGTCTCCAGCTGTAACTCTTTCATACACAAACAGTCACTGCCTAGAGGCTGCCCTTTTTTAGTAGGCTGAGTAGTAATAGTTTTGGAGCTTTGAGCTGTCTTCAGAGCATCTTTGTCCTTACAATGCTGAAGTTAAGGGACCTAGTCTTTGAGAGTGAATTTGATTTGAGGAAGTAAGAAACGAGTCTTCTTGTAAGTACTGTTAAGCAATGGCATATGATGTGTTTGAATTAAGATAAACTGTATTTATGATTGTCTGTTTATTGTCACATGCTTATCATTCTGAAAACCGCAAGACATTAAAAAACACTGACAAAGGTGCACTTACTAATCTACTACAGCTCTGACTTCAAGACCTTGATGATAATTGGGTTTAAAATTGTTTCATCCCAGAAGGCATTCCTTTCAAGATTCTAATGTTATTTAACAGTACCCTAGGATGTCCTCCTTTGTGAAACTGATTGAAAACAAGATATAAAAGTGGTGACACATAACAACAACATTCTAATTGACAGCTTTGATGTCATTCCATAACTCATGTGGTTTTGATCACAAGTATTCAATCCTTAAACCTATTCTGGAGCATAAGTATTCAATCCTCAGACCTATTCTGGAGATGATTTTCAAATTTATATGGTTTAGAGTCAAGATCTTGTGACAGCTATGATTTAGCCTATGGATCAAAGTGTATTTGCCACTTGGAAAGCAGTACTAATGTCCTGTCAGTAGTAAAGTACCACTAATGGTGTATATTTCCTTTTCTAAGCAATAGCAGCAACAGATGGAGGTACAGTAAAGATATGTGATTTCTGGAATAATGATAATATTCTTTAAGGTATCTAAAACATTCCATCTGTATATCCTGAACACTGGGAGGAAATGATGGGAAAATTCATAAAGAGCAAATAGCAAAAATTTGCTGAGTTATGTGAACACATTTCAGGCAGTTGATCAGACCAGTATGATGGAAGATGGTAAAATCACCCATGTAGCAAGAATGAGGAATTTAGGACTTGATATTGCTGATGTGGGACAGCTCACAGACTGTGGAGAAGAGGAATTTAGGAATTTACACAGCTGTATTTAGCAGATTTTGAAAGGAAAGAATGCTGAAGAAGAAAGAAGTATTAGAAAGCAGAAGAGAAATTGTGAAAAACTTTACAGAGAAAGGATTTGTTAACTTTTTCTAAACTAAAGCAGTACCTGACTGCTGATCACATTGCTAAAGTCAATGGACAGATTCAAGTAGCTCTAAGTAGTATGTAAATGGAAAGACCTGCTATGTTTATTCATGCTGTTGTTTGCCGATAAGTTTTAGCTAATCCATAACTGACCGCCCCAGCAGGTTTTCAGAGGCAGTTAATTGCACAGGAGATTGCCCATCCTTCTCCCACAAATAGCTGGTGGATTCAAACCACGTGTCTTTAGGATTGCAGGGAAGCTTCTTACCAATAAGTTGCCAGAGTTTCCTTTATGCATGTTGTTGTTAGGTGCTATTGAGAATAAAACGCATAGCAATCCTGTGATCAACAGTCCTGATCCTGTCCTATCCTGTGCCGTCCTTTACCATCTCTTGATACACTTGAGCCCATTGCTGTAATCATTATGTCAGTTTGTCTAGATGGGAGTCTTCCTCTCTTTCACTGACCCTCTACCCTTCCAACTATGATACCTTTTTCCAAGGTATAGCCTCTCCTAGCAACATCCCCAAGTATGAGAGACTAAGGCATTCTTGCCTCCAAGGAGCACTCCAACCGCACCTTCCCCAAGAAATACCTTTCATTCTTTTGACAGTCCAAGGTATATGTTCACTACTCTGCAACTCAAAGGCATCAATTATAGGGAGCTTTAAATCTTAGTACTACCAAAAATGGCCTACATAAATAACACATTCCTGATTTAGATTCATTTTTCAAAGAAATGGAGAGAGAGACCTGGATAGGACTCCCTGATGTCAAAACCTTATTACATAGCTATGATAATCAAACAACATCTTACTGATACAATAACAGATATATAGACCAATGTAATAGAATTGGAAATGCAGATTCTCAAGGGTTAAAGCTATCCACTTAATGGGCAACTTATATGTCGCAAGAAGCAAAATCCATTAAATGAGATAAAAGACATCCTAGTTAATAAATGTTGCTGGTAAAGCTGGGTATCTTTTTGTATAAAATTGAAGGCAGGCCCATACCTCAAGTGATATTAAAAAAAGAAAACCTATTCAAAATTGGTCAAGGACTTACACTTTTAGGATTTAAAACTAAAGATCATTGAAGAAAAATTAGGGCAAACTTAAGAGTTCCAAATCAATAGCATAAAGAGATTTATCATATATAAGCAAACAACACACAATCCACAATCAGGGGAGGATAAATCAGACAATTGATACTTTCTAAGAATGAAATCGTTATGTGCATCAAAAGTCTCCTTCAAAAAAGTAAAGAGTAGTTTTTGTTACTGTGTACCATTGAGTCAGAATCGCCCCGTAGCTAAACCTCCGGTGGGCTTTCAGTGGCAGTTAATTGCATGGGAGGAGACTGCCCATTCTTCTGGAAGAAAGATTTGTCAGTGACACATTTGGCAAGGGACACATTTCTAAAATTTATAGGAAACTAACACTTGAACAAGAAAAAGGAAAATAATCAATTAAAAGTTAGCAGAGGATGTGAAAAATCATTTCACCAAAGACATTCAAATGGTCATAAAAATACAATGAAGAAATACTCAAGATCATTAACTATTAACTCAGACTCATTGCTGTTGTTGTTAGGTGCTATAAAGTTGAATATGACTCATAGTAACCCTATGTACAGCTGACTTGAACCCCGCCCTAACCTGTGCCATTCTTTGCATCTTTGACAACCTTGAGCCTTACTGAAATCACTGTCAGTCCATCTTGTTGAGGGTCTTCCTCTCCTTTGCTTATTCTCCCCATCTTTACAAGCATGATGTTCTTTTCCAAGAAATAGTCTCATCTAGTCACATGTCCAAACTGTTAGACAAATCTTTGCCATCTTTGCTCCAAGAAACACTCTGGCTGCACTTTGTCTGAGACGTATCTGTTTGGTATTTTAGCAGTGCATGGGATATTCAGTACTCTTCTCCAGTACCACAACTCAAAGGAATCAATTCTTCTGTTATCCTTACTCATTGTCCAGCTCTGTGATGCATAGCAGGTGATTGAGAAGACCAGGGCCTGAATCAGACACACCTTAATTTTCAAACTGGTATCATTGTGCTTCAGTATTTTAGAGCAGCTCCTGTCTTGCCCAATGCTGTATGTCTCCTGATTTCCTGCTTGTTGGTACCAAGGATGTGTATTGTTGGTCCAAGCAAGATGAAATCCTTGACAGCTTCAATTCTTGCTCCATCCAGCAGTGCTGACTGTTGGTCCTTTGGTGAAGACTTTTGTTTTCTTGATGTTAAAATGTAATCCTACCTAAGGCTATAGTCCTTGATCTTCTGTAGAAAGTGTTTCATATCCAGTAACTGTGTGTCATCTGCATAACATAGGTTGTTGATGAATCATTCTCCATTATCAGGATAAGATATATCACATTCCTCTTCTTAGAGCCCATCCTTGCAAATTATTTGCTCATCATATAGATTGAATAGGTATGGGGAAAGGATCCAACCTTAATATATACCCTTATAATTTTAAACTATGCAGTGTTATCCCTGCTGCTGTGGCATTTTCTAAACCCAGTTTGAACTTCAGTCAGTTTCCTGACAACATTGTGATAGATGGAAAAGAGATAGAAGGTGCCAGTGATTTAGTTTTACATGAATCCACAATCTGTACCCCTGGTACCAGCAATCAAGAAATTAAAAGATTATTTGCACTGGGAAAATCTGATATCAGGGACCTCTCCAAGGTGCTCAAGAGCAATAATGCCAGTATAAATACTAAGGAGTACTTAATTAAACCCACGATCTTTTCAGTTACTTGCTGTGCATATGAAAGTTATACTTTGACATGGGATGACAGATGAATCATCGATACCTTTGAGTTGTGTTGTTGGAGAAGAGTAGTGAATATCCATACTGCCAGAAAAAAAACAACACAAGGATGTCTTAGAGGAAGTACAACCAGCGACCACCTTAGAGAAGAAGATGGTAAAACTTGGTCTCACATAGTTAGGGCATGTTGTTAGGAGAGGCCAGTCCTTGAGAAAAAAAAATCATGTTTGGACAGAGGGTCAATAAAGGAGAGAAAGACCCTCAATAAGATGCACTGGCACAGTAACTGTGTGAGTGGGCTAAATATATCAGAGATGCTGAGGATGATGCAGGAGAGGGCAGAGTTCAGACCTTTTATTCATAGGCTCACTATGAATTGTAGTCACCTCAAAGGCGCTTAACAGCATCAATAACCTCCTCACTTTCCCTATGGCTGATTGTGTGAGCCACATGTTTGGAGCTGCCGCCTCCCTCACACTCTCTGCCCTGCCTCCTTGGTGGCATACTGAGGAGGACTTTGGTCTGAGGCCTTGGGCCTGGTTCTTGGATTCTCTACATCAGATCCCCAAGAGTAACTTCTTAGACCTACATATCTGGAATTCCAGGTTCTGAGTGGACAGGTGGAATCCATGACAGCATTCCCGTGAGCCTGAGCAAAACTGGCTTGGGAACATATGAACATTGCTCTATGTATGTGAGAGTTTGCTCTGTGTTGGATGTGGTCTACAGCTTAAAGACACTATGCAACAGAATGTGCTGTGGACTTGAGTGAAGGGAAAAGGAAAGATGGATGTGATATGTTGAAATGTTGAGGGAGTATTAAAACTTCCTCCTCAGTGGGGTCATAGGTCAGATCTTTCCCTGAGAATAGGCATTTGTAGAGGGTATTGAGGACACAACAGGCCTCATTTGGGGGGTCTTCTCAGATCTGAATGAAGGGGGTATCTACTCCACCAGGATGAACTCAGTGTAGTCCAAACTGGGATCTGCAATTTTTCCCCTTCTTGGTTTAGTGCAGTTTTGAAGGGCTTCCCTTCTAAGGTTTTTAAAAAATAACTTCAAACTGAGTGTGTATTCTAATGGCTCAAACCCACAGCACACTAAATGCTGGACACAGGGTTCTCACAGGGCACACTTAAGGGTGGGTTGTTTGATCTCCCTATCCAGCAAGTCCCAGACAGGGAAAATCCAGTGGAAATTAGCTGGAAGGCGGAGAAAAGGGTCTAGAACCCTCCTTTTATACCAGCGAAGTTAGAGGCCAGTGCAGGCTCCTCCACAGCCACAGCCTCCAGAGGAGACCTCAAGAACTTAGTCTCCTGCTGTCTTCTCATATAAGGATTATACCTTTACTGCAGATTCTTTAGAATACTGCCCAAATAGCTTGAGAAAGGCACTGTTATCTCATTTTTATTTACTGATGATATTTGATGTTATTTATGCCTGGTGGTTTTCCTGGGCAGGGAGGCTTGGTAGACATCCTCCTCTAGAACTTTTTAAACTATGGGAAGGACTCCTTCTAACATCTAAGAATGACAAATGCAGTTGTGAGCTGCACATCGAATCTTCCATGGGATACCTGGGCTTACCATGGAGAGTGTGGTGAGTGGGCTGTTCTTGGTGAATGCTGTTAATCATTGTTCCTGTGGCCTGTGACAACGAAAGCAGAGGATTACCACGGGCAGGGTAACTAATCACAATCCACAGCATTTTCTTCTCACAGTCTTAGGGGTAATACAAAACTCTGACTTTGTGGTTTTTGTTTTTGTTTTTTTTTGTTGTTTGTTTGTTTTTAACCTTTTAGGACTGATTTCTGTGTTCATAAAGATGAGCCATGCGACACTGTTGGTAAGTTGGGAGTTGAGTTCATTATTTAAGGGGATAGTGTGCACTATGCTAACCTGGCTACGTATCCATATTGCTTCCAAGTTGGAAGAGCTGTTTCTCAGATAAACTGCATTTCTGTTCCATTGACAAACCTGTCTAGGCATTAACTATCCCCAAAAGTGGCTACTGGTTGGTCCTCCACATTCACAATGCAACTTTGACCATGACCAGATTTCTGTCTAAGGGATGGCCTACTACTCCTTTCTTGTAAATTGGGTCCATGGCGTAAGTTCCCTTTTTAAATGAAGATTGTGAAGTTGCTTACAACAGAAGACATCTAGACAAGGGGTTAATATATAAGACAGGTAAAGTCTAATCAGGGTTAGGAGAAGCCAGCAGACTTTAAAGAGTCTGCAGCTAGAACACATTTGGTTATGAACTGGTGGGTCGTTAAGGAAGAGAAGCAGGATGGGTGCCACCTTAGTTGTTAGAGGCAGAAGTTACCAGTTTACTGTTGTGCTGATGAACTTTATCAGGTGTTCTCAGGTAAGCCCAGTAATATAGTCATTTATAAGATTGGACTCCTGCACTAACACTGACCACCAATTTAAGTGCTTTGTTGTCTAGCAGTGTTGAAATTGACATGCAGTCCTGAGGAAGACACTCTCTTCCTCTTTATCATATGCTTCCTTTCCTTCTCCCTCTTCCAATAACTTCTGTTGTCTGTTCTATCTTGTCTTCACTTCGATTTGGCTTTAGACTTCATATGTTGAAACCAGTTGTGGGTTTTTTTTCCTTGTTTTGGTTTTTTTGAGACTAGAAATAAAAGATGTTGGTTTAATAGAGAAACCACCAGAAGTGTTTCCAACTTTAATATAGCATCAACATTTTAAAAAACAATTATTAATATTTTTTAAGATTTTATGTTGGTTTACATACAAAAGTCATATACATTGTGTTTTGTTTCTATACATTGTATTTCATAAATTCCTTTATTCACATTGTGTTTTATGAAATTAATGATCATGCCCATCATTACCTGACCTTTTCATGTCTCCACTAGGTCTTTCCTTACTCACTATACTCCTTACTCTGACCACCAAGCTCTGCAACCTTGAAATTCACCCCACCCCACTCTCAGCCCCTCTCTTCCCAACCGCTCTTCCTTTATGCTTTGCTACACATCTTACTAGTTATCCTTCTATTATTACAATAATGTTCTTAGGCAGTATTTGTTCTTTTTTTTATTTTTTTAGTATTTGTTCTTATAAAACTGAGTTAATTTTCTGAGCATAATGCTCTTCAGCCTCTCCCATGTTATTTAGTATTTTTCAAAATAATTGCTGCTGAGTGCTTTATAGTATTCCATCATTATAACACTAACTTTTATTTAGTAGAGTTTAAATATTACATTGCTAGTATCAAAATTCTTAGTTATTGTGCTTAGAATTGTGAGAAAGATGAAAGGGGGAAAAAGTATGGTAAACACACACACAGAGCTCTGGTGGCATAGTGGTTAAGGAATTACACAGCCAACTGTCAACCCAAAGACAGGTAGTTCCTCAGCTAAACAGGTAAATCCATCAGCTGCCTGGTACTCCACAAGAGAAAAATATTCACTCTCCTCTTGTTTTGTTTATGTTGTTGTTGTTATGTGCTGTCGAGTCATTTGTGACTCATAACGACCCTATGTACAACAGCCCTAAAGCATGCTCTATCCTGTGCCAATCTCATTGCCTCTGACACACCCATCCAGATTACCCCAGTCACTGAATCAATCTACCTCATAGAGGGTCTTCCTCTCCTGCGCTGTCCCTCTACTCTACCCAGCATGATGTCCCTCTCTAATGACCTGTCTCTCCTTACAACATGTCCAAAGTATGTCAGACGAAGCCCCAAAATCCTTGCCTCCAAGGAGCAGCCTGCTTTAACCCTCTCTTGGATGAATCTGTTTGTTTTCTTGGCAGTCCATGGTACATTCAGTACTCTTCTCCAGCACCACAGCTCAAAGGCGTCAGTTCTCCTTCTCTCCTCCCTAGTCACTGTCCAACTCTCTGTTGCATAACAAGTGATTGCAAAAACCATGTTTGGTTTATAGCCTCTGAAAATCTGGGGGAAGCTCAGCTATGAGTTTGTTCTGTCTTGCTGGCAGTGACTTGAGTTGAGTTGTAGAAGATGTACTTACTTGTCCTCTGCCATTGACAAACTGTCCCAAGTATTTACTATTCCCAGAAGAGGCTGCTCCATCTCAACATTCACAAGGCAACCTTTACAGTGACCATATTTCTGTTAGAAGATTAGATCCTCATCCCTGTGATTACTCCGTTGTGTAAAGATCATGCTCCATCACCTTGCCTCTTTTTTGAATGAAATCTGCTCTACACTCAATCCAGCTTCGTGTTTCCTTCAGCGCATGGCTCTGAGTGTGAGGGGCTCAATCACAGCCATATTTGACTGAATGATAAGTGAATACATAGGAAGGATGAGTTTGAACAACATGAATCTAATCTCTTGGGTTTCTCCATATTTGGTTATTGTTGTTTTCTGCCATCAAGTGGGCCCTGCTCATAGTGAACAGTGCACAACAGCCTGCCTACTTTTGGAAGTAGGTCTCCAGGCCTTTTCTTTCTTGTCTGTCTTCATCCAGATGCTCTTTTGAAACCTATCTTCCATAGGTGACCTTTCTACTATTTGAAATACTGATGGCATTAGAGCAGTATGCAAACCACCACAGTAAAACAAACTGACTGGTGAGTACTGGGTCATATTTCATATTTACAAGTAGCTTTAATTTTATTTTTAACTTTCATATTTGCCATTCAGTTTAATTTTGTACTGTATACTGTTTCTCCCCTTGAGGACAAGGTGGCTAGTCCTAGTCAAGCATCATTTCCTCTTCTAAAACAAATCACTCTGTTCATTTGACATTTAGCCATTTACTACCAAGAACATCCATGTCCTTATGTGACCTCCTGATGTGTATTTCTCATTTCTTAGCCAGACTGGAATTCTTTTAATGGCAGGAACTGGATGTAATTATCTGCTTGTAACATCTGGTTAGTTCAGTGTTAACTAGCCCCAACATTTTTGCATTGGATTCTTATTCTGTTGTTTCAGTTGTCTCATTTACTAAATGCTGACATAGAAAAAGTACCACAAGTTGGTTACTTTAAAGAGCAGGAATTTATTTTTTCACAGATCATGAAGCTTAGAAGTCTGAATTCAAGGCATGGCAAAGGGAATGGCCTACCCCTTCAGTAGTTCCAGGCATCTTACTCCTTTGTCTCTGTCGTTTTTATAACTTGGCAATGATTCCATTTAGGATCGTCCCTAATACATGACTTTATTAACATATAAAAAAATCTGTATTTCTGAACAGGGACATATTTATAAATACAAAATTTAGTGTTTCAGCACATATTTTTGACTTTTTGGAAAGGGAAACAAAATTCTTTCCATAGCTACAGTAATAGTCAACTTTGATAGAGGCTTGACATACTATTTTTTTAACTTCTAGTTAACATTTTTACACTCCAAAGTACTGAAGAGTAATGATGTCAATCTGGAGACTAATATGTGCCTGATCCAGGCCATGTTGTTGTT